ACTGAATATATAAAGTCATGTAAAGTATCAATCGATCAGAAATATTGTGCAGATGGGAACAGGGGAACTCGCAAGCAGATTGCTTAGATGGAAAATTTAAAACAAAAATGTCCAAGTACTTTCAAGTCCGATTTTTCGTGTTGATAAAGATATCGTAAAATATCTATTCTCGTTGCTGCGGCGACGACGACATAAAATATAATTGTCCCCCGATCCGCCGCTTATCCATCCCTCTGTAGGATGAAAAAGATATTTACATAATGGTTTCAGAAAAAAACTAGTTAAAAATGAAGATATAACAACAGGAGGCCAGCGATGTTAGCTGAATTATAATTATTATAATAAATAATAACTAAAAACAATATTTGATAATGAAAAAAAAAGAAAAAATTATCAAAATTCATCTTCAGGTTCAACAACATCAAATAAAATCACGACTTTTTTTTATAAAAAAAATTGTTGATATCACACCAAAACACTTCGTTATAACTCCGTGTAAAAAAAAGTTAAGTTAAAAAAAATTAAATATAGTAGTAATTAAATCTTTACTAAATTTAATTTTTTTTACCTTAACTTTTTTCTTTTAGACGGAGTTATAACGAAGTGTTTTTAGTGTGATTATTGAATACAGGTAAATACATTTTTTAATTTAATTTAAATGTTATATTAAAGATATGCGTCTTACCAAAATTATTTATTATTTTATCTTTATCAATTTTAGTGCTTAGATCTCTCTCAGTATTAATAACTGTCAAATCTGTAAACTTTGCTTATCTTAAGCCAATTATTTAAACGGCACATAGATGAAAAAGGTTTTTGCAAGTAACCGAGCTTATAGGAATAGTTAGTCTTACAGCTAATTATTTATATCTTCGATTAAGTGCAACAGTACTTTAGTCTCAGTTTTGTAGTTTTTCAGGAGAGGTATTTCAATTTAATGTTGGCACATATGAATGATACAAATAGTATTAAAATTTTTGTTAATATCAGTTTTCCTGTTCCCTAAGTCCCTTAATAATTATTAAAATATTGTATTAAATAATTTTCCTCATCTGACAAATAAAATATGCAATGTGATCGAAGACGTGTTGGTAGATATTTATCCACCAAATAAATAATGTAATTTTGTCTTATTTAATTGACTTTTATGGTGTACGGTGGTTTATGTAAAAATGCATTCATTTTTACATTTAATTTATGTAACTACACCAGGATAGATTGTTTTTCAAGATCATCCTCACTAAAATAACTTAAGTTATTATGTTTAAATTTATTAAAATCAAAATAACTCTGTGGATTTATTTTTGAACACAATAATTTACATTTTAACAATGAATCTGAGTGGGAAAACAAATTTATCAGGCTTTTTATCTGTAGTTGCAATTATTAAATTACAACAATTTAGATTTGTAGAGAAATTATTACCAAATTTATTTTTTATTTTTATTAGTACAATAAAATTTCAGAAGTGAATAATAGAATCATAAAATAAAATAATAAAACAAAAATTTAATCATACATTTTGTTAATTGTTTAGGCATTTTACACCATTCCATTAGCAAACGTTTTAGTTTTACGATATGCTTGAAGGTTTCGTTATCACGTCTACTAAAATAATTGAAATACATCTTCATCATCCCTAAGATGTGTTTTGGATTTGCAATTCTAAATGTAGGTTGTTATAATACCATTGTTTCAATTAATGCGTGGTACACAAGAAAAGACAATTATTTAGATTATATTATTTATTCTCTCAAAAATGTTTCCAGTAAACCTAATATAAATACCTAACCTAATAGTTATATTACGAATACAACTAAGGCAAAACAAACTCGTTATCGTGCAACAAAGCCCGATTATATTGATCATCGATATATTGAACGTGAGATATCCATCAGACGTAAGGTCTCCGGAGAATAAATAAAGAGCCATAAAAAATATTATTTACACAATTCACAAGTGTAACAATAGCTATTTTGAGGATCGGCCACTCTATAAATGTAGATCTAACAATCAAATACAACGTAATTCCAGTATATCAATTCATTGAAGTCTGTTCAAATGATCTAGATCCTGGGCAATTAGAATGTTTCAATGGTCCAACTTCTCATCACGAGAGCCAAAACCATCATAAATTTATTCGTCACAATCATCTTACAAACGATTCAAACGCTCGTCAAAATAATTATTATTCGTATAATGAAGTTATTAACAATCGTCGTAATAGTCTTTCTAAAGGATCGTCTTGTTTATTATTAATTAACATAAGATTGCTACGTGACGAATCCCGTAATCGGTTTTCTATGTATTCTAATTGTATTCTAGCAACACAAAGTAATTTAGAATATACCTACACCATGAAAGTATTTTATAATAATATTAATATAAATAATATTATCATTATTTTGTCATCATGTATTAATTGTCCCGTAAAGTACAGTTCAGTAAATAGGTAGTTAAACCCAAATATCAATGGAAACATTTTTTCTTATGCGGATGATACAGTAATTTTAGTAAAAGCAAATAGTGTGAATGAGTTAAAGGAATTGTCCATTTCCAACTTAAAAATAGTTTAAGAATGGTTAGACAATAATATGTTAGAGCTTAATTTGAATAAATCTGGGTATATATATTTTCGTCTACCAAACGTTACGCTTAATTATATAGAACCTTTAGTGATTCTATATAATTAAGTGCTATAATAGCTATGCTTACTGTCAGTTAACTTTTTATGCTAAGATATTCAAAATGTTGCTTTTATTAGCCTTTTAATGCCCATTTTTTTTTTTTTTACACATCGAAAATATTGTAAACTAAATTTGATGTGCTGAATTTGGGAAAAATAATTTTAAAAATCCAGTATTTGAGCTTGTGACAGAAAATTGTATTTTTATAACTACACTACTACTATAAACTTAAGTAAAACTACTGCGTTGTTAATTATTTGTGCGTTATGAATGTTCATATAAATCTTATAACAATTTTAAGTTTCATTTCCAAAGAATTAAAATAGTATTTTTCACTCAAAGCACATTTTTTAAACCAAGAAAATAAAAACTACATAAAAGAAAAACCATTAACCTACGTTATTAAGCTTGAAACACGTTACAAAACGGGAATTAATAACGTTTGTATGTGCGTATCAATATAAAGCATATACTTAAATTCTATGTTAGACGGCGCAACGCATTTTTTGAGATCCATATGTAATGTGAAAACATATTATTTTAACATGTTGCATATTTTCTACAATGAGTATTGATGAGTTAAGTATTTAGGAGTTATCATTGATGAAAAATTTAAATGGTCAATTCTCACCTTCTTTTTTGTTTTTGAACTCACTCGCCCAAAGCACGAACTTTACTTTTTTGGGGGGGGGAGTGTCATTTTATTTGTTCTTATGTAAAATTTTATATTGTACATTTTACTTAAACTTGTGCCTATGTTTTTTTTAATAACGTAGTATATTATTGTTATTCTTATTATTTCAAAAACATGTTTTTAAATGTTTGATTAATAAAAAATGGTAAATTTTGTATTAAAAATCAACTATAAATATGCAAAGTAATGCAAAATGTTAAAAAAAATAGCATAAAACTCTGAAAAATTGCAAAGTATGCAAAATAAAATGTTTAATTGTGCTTCTCTATGTCATGAAACAAATACTTAACTTATTTTACTAGTGACAAATATAAATGTATTATATCGATTCATTGATCTGTTTAATACATCTAAAACTCTAGTAATGCCAATATCAAGCCAAAAATGGTTTCTTCTTAAAACCTTAGTATTAGTAAGTCAATGTGGTTCAGTTATATTTTGATTGTCTAGTTAAGCCATTTTAAATAAAATTAAAAATAGTAGATCAAAGTCATCGCCTCTAGATTAATTATAGCGGAACGAAGGATCTATTGGTTTTACTACGTATTCTTTTGACATTTTTTTTGTTTATTTGTGTCTGTGTAACTTTTCAAACAGAAATTTTGCTCTGATGTATCAAGTGCACCCAGCATCTTTATGAAGGGAAATTTTCCAAGGGTTTTCATAATGGTCTAAAAAAAAACTGGAAATATTTGTTTAGGTAAAACGGCAAATCCTAACGGTACTATTCAAACGCCACACGCCGTGCTAAATGATACTTCACTATTTTTTCCCTCCCCAAACTATAAAGTAGAATATCACATGAATAGATTAATGGAAATCAAACATTTTAACACTAACATTTATTAAAGTTAATGCTCAATCTGTATTTGGAACAAATAATACAGTATTAATACTGTAAATACTATAAATACTAATTGAAAATCAAAAGTTAGTAGTCATTCATTGGAAGGTTGAAGAATACTACATGAGGTAAACAATTGTAAAAATAAATTTACGAAATAAATAACAGACCTTCATTCCGTTCATTAATCAGATTTATGAACTTTTGAAATTATGCATTTATAGATTGCATTTAAAACTATATAATTATTGAATATTCATACTTTTTACTCAGGTAATCAAAATAATGTCTATTACACCGTATTAGGGGAATGTCTTAGAATATATTATTATATTGATTATCAAACTCATATAGATATAAGTAGATACGTTGCCAAAAAATGATAATAATGTTTTTTCGCATTACGTTCAGCTGAGTTATTAACGGGAACGTGGTCGTATCTGGAAAAAGGAGACTTTTTTTTAAAAATAAAACTCTCGTCGTTCAAAATGTTCAATGAAATAACATTTGTGTGATATAACTGGGGTAGGAAATTGTCAAATTTAATTTACGAAACAGTAGTAGACAATTTTTCCACGCATCACTCAAATTCATAAGTATTTAAACGTATGCATAATATTAGGATTGCATTTAAACAATATAAAATTATTGTTTATACAAATTTAGACAATAATTTAGTATTTGCTCGAGATATGAATATTTTATTACACGCATTTAATATTAATCGTACTTTTTATTAGTCTTACGATAGTTGATAATAACCGTACGAGTAGTGCGGTTAATCACATCAGCCAATATTCGAACCATAGACGTTATCGCAAACGAACACGCCACATATCGCCTCATCGTACATCAATAACGCCTTTCGCGCGGGTCCCTATAAAAAGAAGTCCCCGATCGTGATTTCAGCATAACACATTTTCGTGAGATTCTATATTCTCTGGTGAGTAAATGAAACGAACATTTTTCAAACATAACTGGTGTGAGCAAAATTAACAGGTTTTTATTTTTGTTTTTTTGTTTATACTGATAGCCTTTTACTTCTTCACTCTACAAAAACCTACCAAAATCATCAAAAATGGGCGCTGAAAAGGTATCCATGAACATCGTCGTCGTCGGACAGGTCCAAGCCTCCAAAGCCGCCAAAATCGTAGCCAAGGCCGCACCCGCCGCCAGCCAATTGATGGTAAGTGTGACCGCAAGTTTATATATTTTGTTAGATTTCTTTTATATACTATTTGGCTAAATTATAATTTTATACGTATTGAACTAATTCGCGATTTGTTTACTAAATNACGATAAATTAAATATAATTGATTTTTAAATTTTTATCATTAATAGTAACTTTACTTGTACCCTGTTACTTAAAATAGTAATATTTTTATTTATTTTAACTATTTCGATTAAAAATAATATTAATAAAGAAGATAGCCATTGTATTATTTATTTCGATTTTGTGTAATCGTAATGTTGTTTATTTGTTTCAGAACTGTTAACTCATGTAGTCCATCAATCAAAAAATCAAAAATGCCATAGCCCATACAATTATACATAATATTGTGTGAACGTTTCATTAATATTATGTATATTTATATCACAAAATAAACTTGCTCTTTCCGTTATTAACTTTGTTATTTTTCTGTACATTTAAGATTCTATTCACATTTTATTTATTATGTATTAAAAAAATAGTCTGCGTGGAGAATATTAAAAAAAATAAATAAATATAAACTATAAAAAATTAATAAACACGCAGAAAAACCTTCGAGATTATAGGTAGGTCGTGTTGTAAATTTACGATTTTTGTGGTTTCGATTTTAAAAATCATCGTCCTTTAATAGAACTACAAAGTAAAAAAAGACCTGACACTGTTGATGCATACGCCAATGTTGGATATTAGGAAGATAGGAAGAAAGGATGTATAATGTTATTTAATTTATATCGGTACATAACAATCATTGCTGACAAAATACAATTCTAAGAGTAGTTCGTGTAGACATGTTTTGAAATATTGTCAATTTTACGATTTTAAACGCTTGTAAAAAGAAATACTACAATATGACGCTGATTATTTATTTATTTTTTCATTACTACTAGTAAAAATGTCTGCTTGGCTGATGCCGTTAGGTTGTACTTCGTTGACCTAAACACAGAATTCTGCGCCAATATTTAATAATATTATAACGATGGGATTCAATATAATGGGTGTAACATTTCATTAATTTTATACGTCAATAAAACAATAAGTTTTATTATATAGAACTTTATTACATCAACTTTTTCAAAGATTAACAATGGTATACTATTAACCGTGAAAATAAAAAAAATGCATCACGACGGTAATAGCGGTGATAGACGGGTATGACGTACGAAATTAAAAAAAAATTATTTGTCAAAAACAATATTCTATATACCTACTCAAAACTTTTCATAATATCATTTTATCTTCTAGGTCGGACATTAGACTGAAATATAATAGAATATTGATGAGTTTCACTTATAAAAATTAGTATTTTCATCGCAGTAAATGGTGTATACTTGAAGAAAGCCGTGAATGAGTGAATGATAGAAGTTGGCTATAACAGTTTGTTTCTAGTTTATAGTTAGGTACATGTTTTGCTGTGTATTACATTTTTCAAATTTAATGTTTTGCCCTTCTTTACAATTATACGCAAAAGACCGAAAGTACACAGAGTCGAACTCAAATACGCGAAAGCAAAAGAGCGAAAACATAAAGGTCTAAAATTTAAACATAATACTTATATTGATTAAAAATATATATTAAAAAATAAATGAAAAATGTACAAAATAAAATGATCATACTTGTAATGAAAAATTATACGCACGATACCTTACAATCAAATATTGAAGTCTCGGCTTCCCACAATATAATAATCATCATGAATATTTTTGAATTTATCCGCAGAATCTTAAATTTGTTTTTTTTTTATTGGACGGACAAATATTTACTACAGTAATTTTTTATAACTTCATATCCACTAACGTGTTTTGATTTTAAACTTATCGAATCCTAAAATATTTCACAGTAATTTTATATACTTGTAGTTCATATTATATTATATTATCTACAACAAGTGTAAAATATTTAAAAAACTAAAGTTGAAAAATATATTCATGAAAAAGCTATATAAAATTTCAAACGATGGATTTTTGCTCATTTTGTTCTTGCTCTTCTGCTTTGACTCTATTGTCGGGATATCCTCCTTGACAAATCCTAAATCCATCAATGTGTTATATGTATATTCCAGTAAAATAAGTTATTCGGATATGGTCATGTATTATAATTAATGTTCCGGCAAAGTACACGATTCGGACAATTTTCACAATACTTAGACGGCTGAATAATCGAATCTATAATTCATAAATAATATAATATTACAGTCGAAATCAATATTAGTAATTATATGATGGATATTTTTCATATTGTATAGTATTTTGTTTTTTATCTCGATACATATGTATTTATACATTTTATCTTATCTAGATATATGAGAAATCTGAATAACCTGTGCTGAGATAAATAATTGAATCATCTAGATAAACCTTTTTAAATCGTAATTTATTTTTTTATTAATAAATAAGTAAAAAATTTAATTTATGGTTTAATAAATAGATTATGTTCAGTTCACAATTATAATTGCATCAATCACACAATCGTTATGAAATGTGGATTTCGAACTACGCTTCGTCAAGAATATCTATCCAACTATATAATAATTGTAAAAAACCACATACAAAAAAAAAAAAAAAAAAAATAACAATATAATAACAACGAGACAGCATTTATTATTCGGACGGTTAAACGTTAAACGTGATGTTCATCGAGCTGAAATATTACTGACATGACGAGGTTTTTTTTTTTATATAAAACTGTAATATTATATATCTTCTACATATTATAAACGTAGTATAGAATAAAAAAAAAAAAATGACTGAATAACCATATTCGGCAGTTTTTATTTCCGTAATTCAGTTGTGATTTTTCGTCGGATATACAGACTGTAATGATGATCCACACATAATAATTATAATATTATAATCTTCTACAAGACCTAAATCATCTTCACTGGTAATCATTTCACGAAAAGCATATTAATATACATAGTGAAGCGGCCCTAAATCAGAGTTTGAGTTATCTAGATAAAGGTACACTTTTTTTAGATTCTGAGCGTTACGAAGGATCTTGGCGCCTGGCGGTGCCTAATGGGCTTATCCGTTCTATATAATCTACGATTATTGGTTATCATCCTTTCCAACACTGCCGTCCTTAACTATTACCTTTAAATACTTATATGTGTCTACGTATGATACGTATGGGCATATTTACAATAGACGAAAAATAAACCCTAGGCACGTTTGCGTGCAATATACGTAAGGTATATGCGATAAATCACCTAGACGTTGGCAGATCATAAATAAATTTTACCTTTTGTGCGTAGACAAACGTTCAAAAAGTAATAAAATATTACACACGACGGCGTGCGCGATGTATGCAAAAGAGGCGGATGGTAAAAAAGGTAAAAAAACCTTTAAAATTTCATATTTAGGCAAGAAAACTACAAGTATAACAAGTATACACGATATTGGAATCGGCAAAACGAGACGAACAGAATAAAATATGTGTGCATTTGTTTGTTTAGGTACAATAATATACAGGTAACATTAATAACGATATTATTATTATCACTATTGTGTTTTATAAATATAAGAAATTATCTAGATAATAAGCGAGTGTGTATCTATATTTGTATCTTTCATCTTGTCCAGATAAACGGAAAACAATGGCTATCTGAGATAAATAGTTAAAAATAATCATCTAAATAAACATGTATTGTATAAAGATATGATACATAGATGTTTTTAAATCATAATCGTAAATATGTTTATTCAAAATCGAATAAATAAAGAAAGCTGATATTAATGATAAGTGTATGACTATTTTAGGAGAGAAGCTGGAAGGAAGAACGCATAAGGTAATTTAATTTAATTTGTACGCAGCGATAAACTATTGCCAATGGAAAACGATTCTGGCGGACAATTATTATTAGTCGTATTTTTTCCTTTTATAAGTGGGAAATTAGACACGAAAGATACATTGAGTTATTTAGTTTATATTTGTGCTTAATGATAAACTGTAGAATACTAATCGAATAACACAAAAAAATGATTCTGAGCAGATCTCGGTTAAGCAATTCCTTAAAATAAATTACACCAAAGCACATATTAGTTTATGAATTGTGTTGTAAAATGTTAACGCCGTCTAAATTACTCCCTTTATACTATCACTGCTAAAACCACCACATACATATGTCATGTAGCCGTTGTAATCAACGGCACACAGCCACCTGAATTCCCCCTGTATACCACCACTTAATCCACCGCTATAACTTTATCATACCACGCTGTGATACTTTACGTGAAAATTCGTGATTAAAATTTTTAATTTTTTGTTTTGAAAATTCAACCACGTCTAGGAAAACGTGATATAAAGTATTCTTTGCAAATTTTACATCTTTGCAATTATTTTACAATGAGTTACAATAAAAAAACAAAATTTAAAATAATGAAATCACGAATGCCGTAATCTTTCCCGTTTTTCCTACGTTCCCGTTTTTTCCCGCCTTTTCCCAATTATTCAGAAAACTACTTGCGAAATTAAAAATTGCATAAAATATATTCAAAATATGCTTTATAAAAAGCATTTTTTAGTTGTTTTCTTTCCGAAATATTGTTTACAGGCAGAAAAAAACACACGCATAGTAAAACTATTTTACATTATTACAATACGTAAATAATATTTAATATTTATATTATAGGAAATATGGTTTCAAATTTTTTTAAATCAAGATGGGAAATTCTTATTTGGCAGACTTCTATGTAGCGTTTAGTTAAAATGATAGGTAATGCAAAAAATTATTATTTTAGATTCTGAGTGGAACGAAAAAGCGTATAGTTTTACAAAGATGTTTATTCTTTTGGTCTGTGAACAACTTTTCTACCTACGACTTGCTCCCATTTTTCCGTGTAGCAATTTTTCTAAAAGGAAATCGGTGTGGGAAAGTACATTAGGGAATTAATTTTTCGATTTTCTTATGGGCTTTCTGAACAAATTTGAAAAACCGAAAAAAACGGAGGAAAATCGAGAAAATTTAAGAAATGTATATATTAGTTAAAATTATTACGACCTTCTTTTTTCCTATGGACAACTTTTCTACTAGCAATTTTGTTCCAATATAAAATGATTGCAATTTTTTTCTAAAGGAAATCTGACTAAGGAGGTACTTTAGGGTGTAATTTTTTGATTTTCTCAGTAGTTTTCCCAGCAAATATGATAAACCAGGAAAAAACGTGGGAAAAATGAGAAAAACGGTACTTTAAACAAATATTATTAAAGATTATACATAATGCCTATTTAATTATTTTTATCATAATATGACATGTATATTGTTGACAAAGCATCACTATCAACAGAACTCCGCTCAGAATCGTTTTTTTGCTAGCAATGGTTAATCGTTGCTAACAGATATACATTAAATTACCTATAACAGTGGCTGCACCTGTCCCCATTATCTTAGGACGTCTTTTTTTGTTATATAATATGTATA